TACAGTGGTACCTCAGGTTACGAACGCCCCAGCATACGAAATTTTCAGGATACGACATGAAATTCGAACATATTTTTGCTCCACGATACGAACAAAAACTCACCATACGACGTTTCATTAGTTCGCATTTTCATTCGTTTTTCTTACTACAGTTATCTTTTTAAATGTATTACTTGGCTTTAATTTAAGTATGTTTTTCGCGTTGAAACGAATTATTTAGTTTTACATGTAATCGTATGGGAATAGATGATTCACCTTACGACATTTTCATGATACGATCTCAGTTTCGGAACGGATTAATTTCGTATCCTGAGGTACCACTGTACTCTTGATAAATGTGATTGTTAATAATAAAAGAACTACTGGTGAAACAATATATTTTACATTTATTCTGTAACAATAACTTCGAGGATTGCCAATATATTATATTTATCTAATTTCGATCCAACTTAAAATTATAAAGATTGATTGCAGGTTGGTTTAATAATTTTATAATGCTGAATAAGTTAGATAATTAACTTTAGTAAAGATACTACCAGTTCAATTCTGTAAAATTATAAATGCTTGAAATTTAAAGCTGAAATGATTTTGTTGTAAACAGTATTTTATTATTTTTCTGTAGAATAATGGAAGACAATAAACCAAAGAGAGGGATTTTAAAATCAAAAAATAATTACACACTCGCGGAGTAATTATTATCAAATTTTAATTTAATAATTTTAATTTATCTCTGTGATATTTACAATTTTTTTCGGTTTTATTCAGCAACAAAATTAAAAAAACAGTGAGATGGGATGAATCGAACATCAAAAAGACATCGCGACCGTATAGCAGAGACTCTGATATCAGATATAAAGAGCCTTCAGTATACGGTATTGCGGATGATTCATCCAACGAAGACAATAACAAATTGAATACCGAAATATCGACATTGGAGTGAGTTAGGAATTTAATCATAGAGTTCTAAAGTTAATTTCAATAATTTAAATACTTTTAAAACAATCTCAGTTCGAAGTAAAAGTATTAATATTTAAATTTTAGTCCAGAGTCATTTGAAGTAAAACAAAAAACATTATGCACCAGAAACAGTGATGAAAATCTGAGGGATTCAGGTAGTTTTAATTATTTTTAAAATTATCCGATCGTTAACAGTTAAAAGTTTAAAATAAAAAATAATGAATTTAGAAATATGTGAAATAAGATTTTATGAAATTTATTTTCCAAACAGTTGCAACCAAGGCATTCGAACTGAAGCGAAAATTACACTATAACGAATATTTCGGTGTGAAGCTTCTAAAAATCTTTTCAATGATGAAGAGAAAGAATTAATATTCAATGGCTATGTTTATAAATATACATTTCGGCAATTCTTTTTCCCGTTAAAATTATCAAAATTCAGCATTAGATAAATAATTGACGTTCAGTTGGGTAAATATTTCGAAAAACAGCATTTTATAAATTTATCTAAAAATGAAAAACTAAATTTGAAAGTTTCCAAGAGTAAAATATATATTAGCGTATCAGATTTTCACAATTGCACGGAAATTAAAAGAAGAAAAAGTTGCAACGTACTATTTTAAATTAATAAGCAAATAAAGACTAAATTCAGAATTTGGTTTGAGTTCTTCCTCGGCTTGGTCGTCTTCTATAAGACCGACTCTTCCTCACTGTTTCTTCAGGAGTGAAAAGCGCATAGCTATAGCACTCCTCTATCTGGATTGGATTGGATTTGGTTTGAGTTGTTAATTAGCATAAAGCATAGTACCTAAATATAAAGTTGCATTGTAATTACAATGCAACTTTATATTTAGGTACTATGTTGACAACTAATGTAGAGTACAATGCGACTCCTATTTAGAATACTTAATATACGAGAATTCGAAACATCTGGCTGTTCTTTTAAATGTCTTTTCCGTTACGAGATGAAATATTCAATACAAAGAGGCCGACAAGGAAAAATATTTTAATCAGAAGTGCGACGAGATTGAAATTCCTGCCGTAAGCCGTATAAAGCTGGATTCACACTAGCGAGATTGAGGCTGAAGTTTTAAACGCGAAAACGTGTACGTCGGGCGTTCAGCGCCGCTTTCCTGTAAACCTAGAAGTTTGACAATGGTGTTTGGATAGTCAGTGGAATCATGCTCGACATTCCAAACACCATTGTCAAACTTCTAAGCTTATAGGAAAGCGGCGCTGAACGCCCGACATACACGTTTTCGCGTTTAAAACTTCAGCCTCAACCTCTCTACTATCTGACAAGAAAACGACACGTCACGGATCGGCAAAGATACGAAAAATTATGTTTTTACATTATCAGACACGTAACAACACAACGCAACAAAACTATTTGCCAATTGCTTAGTAAACATGTTTAGAAATTTCTATCGATGACTTGACTATAATAACTAGAGCCGGATTTCTAGCCATTATACCATAAGTGGTAGCCTATGGCAGGGTCTTTTTTTTCCTTTCTTTCCGCTCTGTGGACACTAAGAGGGCCTCTTTTTAGCAAGTCCATTATGGGTTCGGCCAGGCCCAACAATGGGGCGAAAAAATTCTTGGGGATTTTTCGACCCGTCCAGATTCTATCCCGGGTCCCCCAGAGAGGTAGGCAGCCATCTTAACTGCTCGGTCATCCGGCCCTCTAATGGCAGGGTCAGTGTGACTGTGGCTGCGTTTTTATATTCCTTCGCGTAGCTCCGCGCGAGTGGCATCCGTTTAAAAATTCCTGCGGTACGCGTTCCGAGTTGGTTATGATAAGGGCCCTTAGTCTCGAGTTTTTTGTTGTACTCGAATTGACGTTATCGAACTCACTCGTGTTACTGTAACTCACATAATTGGTAGTCTCGAGTTAGACCCGTCAAGTGAACTCGAAAGGCAAGCGGAAGTAGGTCATATTCACTTGTTTACGTGTATCGTTAGACATGATGGGAATATTTACAATGCATATGGGTTTGCGACTATAATGATTCGACCAATAATCTTAACTGTAACAAGTTGAAAACAAATCAACGTGAATTCGTTTACATGTGTTGTAGTTAAAAGTTTTGTCTTATAGCAATATAGTACGCAGAAACAAAATGGAAACCTCCAATGTTTTATTTGAAAAAAAGAAGCGAAGAACAAAAAGAACTATTAGAAACATATATAGAAAATAATAACAAAATGATCAGTGGAAAATTCGACAACGAATTTACAAGAAAAAGACAATTCGATTTGTGAAGAGAATTACAGTAGTTGAAAAAATTAATTGGGTATTTGGAGCTAAAAAATCCGTTGTGTAATGGAAAAAGTATTTTAATTTAATCCTTTCTTCATACAGTTTTCTTCCTTGATCTATTTTTTAAATTTTGTTTATTAAGGTTATTTATTAATCAGAACTTAACACTTCTGATTAATAAATAATCTTAATATAGTGTATAATATGCGCTTAATAATTTATACATATAATTTACTATCATTTTACTTCACTTTTTCGATGAATTAGATACTTCCTTTTATTTTTGGAAAAAACTTGCTGTATAATTTTATCAATTATGAATTAAATTTTTTTATTAGTGTTGACTTGACACGAAAAGAAATAGCATCTACTCGTGGTCGAAAAATTCGTTGCCTTCTTTAAACAACTCTTTCGTCTCTTTCTAACACTTCGATTGCGATCACAATAGCGTATCTGTCAGCCATTTTCACTTTCGTGTAGCGATCTCACATGCTCGATTCAATGTGAGTAGCAACTCACACGGTGAGATGGAAAAGCACATGAATTATAACTCGAGACTACCGATTTGACGTCAGAGTGTGAGATGGTACCACGTGACATTTTCAACACGTTGGAAGTTGTAACACGAAAAATTCGAGACTACGGCCCTGGTCAGGCTTGAACTACTAGGGTACGCATCCCCGAACGCGTTCATATATTCCAACGGAGTGCGCGCCGTCGGACGGCAAAAATGGCCGCTTGTATTAGTAGTTTACGGTGGAAAGCAACATGGTGCCTTCCGTGGCTCAGGTAGTTTCGTTTCGGAGTCCATTATTGATTTTATGAATAAAATTTAGAAGTTGTGAAAGTGCAAGTTAGTGCTTTCACATGCCGTGATGTGTCTTTTCGAATGGCAGCCGGCATTCTAATTTTTTCGTGGCTACTTTGAATGCTCTCTTGGCAAGAAAATCCATTTTATGATTAAATTTTACAATTGGAATCCTTCTTTAGTCACTATAAACCCATATTTTAAAATTGTAGATCCCCGTCACGATACAATCGGTAGTACGGGCGCCGCCATTTTTTTTTTCACTGACATTCCTAAATGCTTACTGACAGCAACGCACTGCCATAGAAGCCGAGACGCAGAGCGACCGCTATTAATGAACGCACCCAATATACTTAATATTCTTTGTACATATTTAATAAATTTTATTCTTAGCACTCTTCTGGAAGGCTTAAAATTGTCGTACCGGATTATGACAATTTTAAGTGAAATACGACAATTTCAAAGGGTACATACAATAATTCTATCCCGTAAGGTTGGCAACTCTTGACGTTTGTGATTCTCAACGACCTCCCTTCGGGTCTTAAAGGGTCCAAACTTTCACTTGGACGGCCCACGAAGCTTTTTTGCAGGCGAAATTGACCAGAGCGGGCTCATACCTAAAATACAGTACTTTGCTTCTCGCCGTAACGGCACCCGCACAGCTGATCTCCGCTTGGTCTACACCAGGCATGGCCAACATACGGCCCGCGGGCCAGATCCGGCCCGTCTAATGAATTTATGTGGCCCGCGATCAATCTTTCAATATTAGGTTGTGAAGTCCGAATAGCTCGATGAAAAATTCTGACGCATAAAAAAAAAAGGCAACTCATTGTGTGTTTAGAGTTAACCCTCCATTACAAATCTCGTAAGTACAGCGTAGATGTTGATAAAGCATGATAATGTGAAAAATGTACAGTTGACCCCCTGTAACACTGTTGATAATTCTGTTTTATATGAATTCCATGTTGTACGAGTCACTTAGATTTTACAAATACTTGTGCTGGGCTGTGAACGGCTCACGTATTTGTAAAATCTAAGTGACTCGTACAACATGGAATTCATATAAAACGGAATTATCAACAGTGTTATAGGGGGATCAACTGTATATGTAATCTCTATCTACAATTTAGTCTCTACGGGGTGACACCACAACGAGATCTCGCACTACCTCAAAATCTTCCTAGGGCAGCCTCTGGTTCCGTGGAAAAAGTTTTCTTTCCAATCCGGCCCGGGGGCAAAAACTGTTGGCCACCCCTGGTCTACACGGTACTCAGCCCGATGGCGGAATTCGATGCACCGCTTCTGGACGGTGCCCACACCACCACGATACATCGCATAGAGAAGACTATACACGCCGCTCTTCGCTCGGCATTGGGCGTGCCGACGACGACTCCTTTTCTCTCGCTCTACATAGAGACCGGTTACATTTCGCTGCAGACCAAACTTCGCCAGCGGACCATCTCACGCTATCACGCAATTTTCGAGAGACCCGTACAGCCCTCTCTACAAGCTCTTCCAAACAGTTTCCAGTTTGGATTATTACCGCTGGAGCCCGTACCAGGGGCCGTACATCACCTGTGTTCTTTCCCACTTCCGACAGGAAGGCCTGCCAGCCTCGCGCATTTACCGGCAGAGGCGTGTACCGCCGTGTACGGTTCGGATTCACTCTCGCCTCAGCCTTGACGATTTCCCTACGTCAACCAATGTTCCGCCCACCATCACGAGAGCGAGGTTCCAAGAGACTGCCGCCACCAAATGGGTGGGTTGGACCCTTCTAGGGGCGGACGCCTGAAAGTCCAGCACCTGGACGACCATCGGCGTAGTCCTCCTGGTCATCCACATCAGCGAAACCTGGTCCATCAATGGACACTGTAGTGCCTTCGGGGATACAGCGGGTGATCCAACTCAGCGCCTCACTAGACAGTCCAACTGTCATATTCTCCGACAGTAGATCGGTCCTACGAGCAGTAGCCAACGTTTCTTTCACCTCGCCTGCGGCCATAATAGACCTAGCGGACTCCATCAGCTCACACACGGAGCCCTTAGTAGTCGGATGGACATCAGGTCACTCCGACATCCCGATAAACGAAGCGGTCGAGAAGACGACGCGGCTAGATTTGCCGATCGGCTCCGTTTGGAAAACTCATGCCGTGAGACCTCACCCGGTCTATGCGAGACTCGACCATCCATCCGGGGGAAATAATGCCTTCTGGGAGGACTTTTATGGTAAACTGGCCCTATTCAGGCGTCAAATGACGTGGAGAAAACTCCACGCAGCCAGCCCGTCCAAGCGCGGCACGAACTCCCAGTGTTCAGGGTAAAGTCCACCCCAAGTGCGGGAACGAAGACTGCACGGCCAGCTGGCCCGTCTACGTACGGAGACGGCCCCTTTGAACGGATTCCTTTACTCCCGGCGCCAGCGCGACTCACCGGATTGCCCACACTGCGGGGTTTCTGAAACGACTTTACACTACTGGCTATACTGCCCGCAGTATGCCGGGGCCCGCCAAGATCTCGGCCGCACCCTATCCCTAAACTTAACCGTGGTTCGCACCCTCACGCCAATCTATTGGCCGAATACCGATCTCCCGCCTCGCCGAGGCGCTGGAACGTTTTGTTTAAGCACAGGCCGCCTCATCTAACCACCAGGCGGCGCACGTTGAAGTGTTTCCATCATGGCGGCCACTCTTCCTGTAGATATGGAGCTGAAAAAAGTTAGTTTATTAAAAATTATTTAAGACCTTTTAAATAATTATTTTTGCAGAATAAATGTCGTTAAACAATGACAAATTGATAAAAATAACCAATTATTTGACTTGATTAATTTTTAAACAAATTCATTAAAATCTATTCAAAACTATGCTTTTCTTCATTTTTATTAAATTTATCGCCTTTGTTAAATATTTAAAATAAAGAAAGTTACTTTTTCATTGTTATCATTGTGCTGAGAAAGCTTTACATTGTACACGTGAGTTCACATTATATTATGAAAGCTTCACATCTGATTTCTAATTGCTGTGATGAATAATTTTATATGGTGATATAACATATTATTATTTTTTTACTCGATCCTATTATAGTAAAATTTTGAGACCAGTTATTGTTTGCCAAATGAATAGCTGTAATAGTCAAGATTAAAATTAGGAATGTACCACGGGTTATTTTTTACTTTGACTCTTTCTACCCTGTGAACATTAAAGGCTCGGTTACATTGGGCTAGTGTTACCACCCATCTGGTTTTCACCCGGACAGTCTGGGAATTGACTCACTGTCCGGGTGAATTATTAATTTTGTCCGGGAATATCGTGCGCAACCTTTCAACCTTTTTTTTTTTATTATTTTTATTTTTATTTTTATTTTTTTTTTGCTTGTAGGATTCGTATTCATATACATCTCCAATATCCAATAGAGCTAAGTCATCTGTAGTTGTTGTTTCTTAATTTAGGTTACTTACATTACTCCTACCCAAGTCGCCCTAGTCCCTAACTGTAAGGCTCCACTAGCGTAAAAACGGATGTAAAACCACTCGCCGTAAAAGCTTCTAATCACATAACCCTGATATTTTACGCCTAAGCAGGTCGTAAAACCAGCGTAAAAGCGAGTTGAACACTGCTCAACTCACTGTACGCTGGTTTTACGACCTGCTCAGTTGTAAAATATTTTACGGCGAGGGGTTTTACGCCGTTTTTACGGTAGTGGAGTCTCGGCCTAACTGATTTAGAACTGGCATGCACTGCACTTTATTCTTCGCATTGCAAAATGACATTACGTGTGTGTCAGGAACTTCTGTTCGAACAAACCTCATCTGCTGTCCGGGTCAGCGATTTTGAAAAGGTGACAACACTACGTTAGGTTGGGCGAGTTTAGTGGCTACACTCAGACAAACTTGCTGCTATTAAATTTGCTCGAGGCTATTATTTTGACTAACAAACTTGCCAGGAAACACACTGTGTGGTCATGTGCAGTAGTGAGTAATGTCTACATCTTATCTCTTATTTTAACGTATGTAATTGGGATGTTTTATGTTCCATAATACAGGATATTGTTGTGGATATTGTTCATAAATGAGTAAAAACTTAATAATAACTACCATTACTACAGTTCCACTTTTTTTGATATTTTACATTTCAACAAGAACAACAGAAAGACTATTGGTGTTACCAGCTGAAAAAATTAAAGTTGTTATCAGAGATTTCCTTTTTCTTTGGTTGCTATATTTTGGTTTAAAATTCAAATTGTATATAAAATTATTATAATTGTTGTGGATATTGTTCATAAATGAGTAAAAACTTAATAATAATTACCATTACTACAGTTCCACTTTTTTTGATATTTTACATTTCAACAAGAACAACAGAAAGACTATTGGTGTTACCAGCTGAAAAAATTAAAGTTGTTATCAGAGATTTTCTTTTTCTTTGGTTGCTATATTTTGGTTTAAAATTCAAATTGTATATAAAATTATTATAATTGTTAAGAATATCGCTACTTTTGGATTAATTTTGCACTATTGCCATTATGTTGATTAAATGGCTAAAAATTACTAAAATGGTGGAATTACTCCATTGCTGGAAACATTGTAGCACAACAATTTGTATAGTACCTTGCTACTATTGAGTAATAAGTGATGCAAGGGAATATACTAACCCAGTATAATTGGTACTTGCTATGTGCAGGTCCATCAATGGACACTGTAGTGCCTTCGGGGATACAGCGGGTGATCCAACTCAGCGCCTCACTAGACTGTCCAACTGTCATATTCTCCGACAGTAGATCGGTCCTACGAGCAGTAGCCAACGTTTCTTTCACCTCGCCTGCGGCCATAATAGACCTAGCGGACTCCATCAGCTCACACACGGAGCCCTTAGTAGTCGGATGGACATCAGGTCACTCCGACATCCCGNTGTAGCACAACAATTTGTATAGTACCTTGCTACTATTGAGTAATAAGTGATGCAAGGGAATATACTAACCCAGTATAATTGGTACTTGCTATGTGCATTTAAACTTGTTCACTGTTTTGCAAATTTGCACACTTGTAAATAATCAGTAAACTTGCCCAATGTAATTGAGCCCTAGGAGAGCCTTATTCTCAAGCTTGTAAGTTCGGCCAGGATGGCTAAGTGGTGAGGGATAGGGTCTGACATATCCTGGGGAGGTTTTTTTCAACTGCCTAGATTTGATCCCTGAAGGGTAATACATTATCCCAGAACAGTAGGATAATGTGTTATAATGTGTTAACCTTCTCGGTTTGTTATCAGAAAACTTGTTTAGAAAAGTACTAGTTATGACTTAATGGACTGAAAAAGAAGTATAGTATTGTACTCGTTTTGAATTGGTTTTCATGTAAAACAATCAAAATAAAGTGCTTTCAAGTGCCATCAAAATGGAATAGTCAAAAGGTCACATGGGTAATATTTTATTAGTTGTTTTTTTTCAATTCTTGACAATTAAATTTATTTAATAGCATGTCTTTCAAAAAGAACTTGTGATGGTCTGGTGGTGTAGCACTTAACTACAATTACCAAAGTTTCATAGATTTTTATATTGTTTTGTACAAATCTAAAGTCATTCACTCTCCTTTCTGATGAATACCTAGGACAGTATTTTTCTACCTTTTTTATGTCACAGAACACTTGAACCAACAATTAAATTTCCATGGCACAAATTTCCTCAGATTAAATCACGTGATTTAAAGTTGTGTTTGTAAACATTGTATCGTGACATTTTTTACCACTTAACCTAATTATTTTTGTCTATATTTTTGTGAATTAAATAAAACAGTATTGTTCTTCCTTAAAATAGCAACAGGTTACAACAATAGTTATACAAATTAATAAATTTCAATTACATAAAAGCCCGAGGTAATTTATTATTGCCAAATAATAGCCTGAGGTATACTGCAGTTGGAGGGTTATAAGAAAAGCAATTAACATTAAGTTTTTATTTGCATTTAAAAGTGGCATGATAATTGCCTTTATAAACTTCCCCAACATCATACAATTTCTAAGTTAAAATAATTTGAACTAAATATGGGCAATTATAGACACATTTTTGATTAAAAGAAAATTTCATTTTAAGTGAAATAACCTGGTGTTATGCACATATAATTTTGCTTACGAATATACATTTTCTACTGCATTATGTATATTTTATTTATTATAACAATGAAAAACTTGTATAATTAATTTAAAGAGGTTTTAATTTTGACATGTACACTTATTGTTCTTTGGACTTCTTTCGAAAATAATTTGTTTAATAACCTTCAAAAATTTTTGCAGCACACCTACAATCCTCTTGTGGCACACTGGTTGAAAATCACTGACCTCAGATAATAAGTTTCTGGGGAATAAAGTTGTATTGGTGTGGGCTGGTCATTCCTTGCGCTTTTCTGGCCAGGTCATAAAAATAATAATAATAATATGTTTACATAATAAAAGTTAATTGAGATAAAATTTATTCCAATTAAGTTAACTGGAAATAACGAACAATGAGAATAGAAATCAAGATTGTATTCGCGCAGAATAGAACTTGATTTAGATTAACATATCATCATTGTTCTAGTTGTTAATTCTAGCAGAGAGCAAATGCTGTGAGGTCATATCCCTAATTCATTTAAAGAAGAATAACTCTGTTGGTGTTAAAATAACCTAGCTAGAATTTTGATCGGTATTAGCTAACTCAGTTCTGTTCAAATCGCAAAAGTGTATTGGATTCAAAGGCTTAATTGGAGTTAAGTTTTATGGTGTAGACGGTCACTCAGCAATTTTATATATATATATATAATACAGTAGATCCCCCTATAAGACTGTAGATACGTTCCGTTCTTTATGAATCAATTTTGTAGGAATCATAGTTTACGGACTACGGCTGTTTGAAAGGTTTTCTTTCATAAAATTAATCGATTCTAGAGTAATTCGACTCAACATTTCCAAANTTGTTTGGTCCCTTGGGGTTCTGTTATAGACAGGTTTGATTGTATTTTAAATTAAATAAATTAAAATTATGATTAAAAATTGCAACCCAGCATTGTGACGATGCCACAATAAATAATTGTTCATTATAAAATATATAGTATTGTGATGAGCCAACTTTATCAATATTTTCAGTAAATTATATTATTTGCCTTACTAATAATTGGATATATTTTATAGTGGAAGATTTTGCCTTACTAATAATTGGATATATTTTATAGTGGAAGACTTTATCAATATTTTTACAGTGATATAAATGTTGGCAAGGTCTGTAGGGCCTTATTTTGCCATCATTTTATCATTCTTTACTCTTTTCACCTTTCTCATTTTTGTTATCCAGTTATACAATATCTTTAATTAATTGAGATACTCATTAAAAAGAAAAAGGAGGTTATTATATAAATATAGTAATATTAAAATAAATGAATTCATTTCTCCCTATTTAGGTCCATGCATTACTTGTAAAAGATTAAATAAAGATCGAACTCTACTATAGTTTCAGACTTGGGGAAACCTTGTCTGAAACTATTTTCAGAGAATATAATTGCTATTCTATAATTCTAGTTTGTATAAGATCAAAGATGCATTCTGGAAAGGTACAAAAACAATTGTTTTCTTTATTTTTCAGTTATATTTTAACCAAATGATAGAAAACAACTAACTTTACTTTAGAAGTTATTTGTTGTATTTTAGTTTTATATATATATATATAATATATATATACATATATAATTACTGTGAGTGACCATCAGTATATATCTAAATTAAGCAATTAATAGCTCTGGAACTAATGATCAGACTGAAGTTTGGATAGTATAACTGATAATGCATCAGCACAGTAAGCAGGTGTTGCAAGTTTGAATCCCACTCTAAACATGATCTTTTCCAGAATATTCTAAAAAGTAAAAATTAATTAATTTTAGTTATTAAATTTATCATGAGATGGTGGCTTAACCATCTATCTATAACCAAATTGCTTTGCATCTAATTATTAGTTAGTATAAAACTTTGGAAGATCATTTGTTAAATGTAGTATAAGATGATGCGTACATCTCTCCCAGATACATTTTCAAGGCAACCTGTAAGGAGCTACTTTACTTTTACATTTTAAAACATAATTCTATCAATAAGTGGAGTAAATATACATATATAATGTAAAACAACAGTTAATAATTGACTGAAATGGAATAAATATAATTGCACTAATCTAACAGATTTTTAAATTGATGAATATTGTTAACAATGATTTTCATAGTAACTTATCTTTGTTAAAAAGTTTTAACTTAAATGTTTCCAAAAATTTTCAAAATGATTTTTGAATGAGTAGAATGCAAATCTTATAAGAAATATTGTTCTCTATTTTAATCAACACTTATAAATAAATATATTAATATTTATAACTATAATTATTATTATTTACTTAAGTAAAGGAATTTATAAATTTATGATTTTATTGCTACATTTATTTAACTTGTTGTTTTTTATTTAAAAGGCTTTCAAAGAGTTACAACAGAAAATGATAGAAACTAGTCAGAAATTAAAAATGGCAGATCTACAAATAGAGAATTTAAATCGTAACATACAACATTCTAAACTGACTAATACTGAAATATCTAGTATGCCAGAAAATACAAGAATGTATTTAGGCATAGGAAGAATGTAAGTGAAAAAATTGTTGTATTTACATTCTCTTATTATTTTTTTAAATTTGAAAGTCATTCTGAAATTAAGATTTCAAAATGGCTTTCTTTCATTTTGTTTCAATCATTTAATATTATCATGCCTTTTCTTTTAATTATGTTGTTAGATTTTAAAAATGATTGTTTTAAATTTAATCATTGTGATAAAGTCGGTTAACAAATAGTTCAATTTCAGTAAATTTGCAATGTGCAATTCTGGCTCCAATCTTTCCCTTTTTTAAAATGTACACTACAATTCTTTTTATAAGAAAGATACTACTCCATATCTCAATATTTTTATTTGAAATTTCTCTACAAAAAGTTTCACTAAAATTTATGGAGAGAATAAAAAAAATGGATATAATGAATTTACCTTGGAAAAACTGTACACTATGTAAAGTATTGACCCCTTAGGGTTAGTGAAAGTTTGAGAACATTGCAAAAATTTTGCAGATACAATATAACTTCGGAATAGCGGACACTGTCAGGACCGAGAAGTTTGTCTGCTATTCAGGGGTACATGCCAATGGCTATACTGTATTTTAACTGGTCATTATAAAGTGAAGAATACAATGGATTACAGAAACATCAAATTTTTATCAGGAATGTGAAAATACAAAAAGTATACATAGCATATATAATTAAAATACATATATATATATACAGTACATTATTTGTCATTTCAGCTGTAAAAATCACATTTTAATTTAATTCTAAATAACAAACAGATTTTACAGGATACTTTAATTAAATGGAACATAAAAATTACAACAAAACATAAATGTTAGTTAATTATTAATTCATCAAAAACAATCTGAGTGGAAGTAACAAAAAAGAAAAATAAAACCATTATTATGAACAGAAGGGTGGATGAAGGTAGATTTAGGCAATGATAGTTTGAATGCTGAGTTAAGAAGGCAATTTGCTAACTGCTTCAAGGGGTAAGAAATGTATTTGGTATTCTTGCATTTATAACATCATTTATAATCTAAGTTACTAATAGAATTGATAGTGATTTGTCTTTGTAGTTATCAAGTAGGTGTAATTTTTCAAACATTTTTGCTTTTTTTAACAAATAATTTATTAAAAATTGCTTTAGCCACCGCAAAGCTGTTAAGATCATAAATGCAAGAAAACTGAATATCTTCCTACACTTTAAAGTGGTTCTTATCAACTGAATAACTTCAGAAAAGTTTATAGTTTCCCAGTACCACCAGCTTAATTCCAACAATAAGACAGAAGTTTAACAACATTAATATGTCTGATGATAAAGTGTGATTGACAACTTAATTATATTAAACTTCTTTAACAGATAAATAAATTTGTTCAGTTTTTACAACCTGCCCTCTTCTATTCCTGTTTTAAGCCAGTCTTTATTCAACTCCTATGGTCAAATTTTGTCCTCTGAAAGAGTTTTTGAACCAATGCTTTGTTTTAGTTTTAAAATATTATGTATGTAATTAATTCTTTCATATTTAGAATATTGAAGGCTGGACTTGTGTTTTCATAATGCAAGTTATGGATGAAAGCGTCCATTATTTAGAGGTAAATATAATAGATGTCCTATTTGAAGAGTCTATGGATTGTAAAAATGTTACTTAAGTAGAAGTGTTCACTATTCAGGAATGTTCATTGATGGAGGTTTTACTGTATAAAAAATTTGCTTAAAAATATTAAAAATTTTACATTTTTTTACTCTCAAGTAAATAGACAAAGACAGATTTAAATTATATAGGAG